TTTTTTTGAATTCTAATTTTTTTACAGTATTTTTTTTCCTAGCTCACGGTGTGATCGGTCCGTGCTGCACGAGGGGTGATTGCCGCTGCAAGAAATGCACAGCTCTGTTCTTGTGGAGAAGACAAACAGGTGCAGGGTCCCGAATGCACTGAGGGGATCAGACATTACCACGGCCATGCCAGCGCTGCCCTTGGCTCACACCTGCAGCCAGCGAGAGCTGTGCTGCTGACCTAGCATGTCATATGGTTTATAATACATTTCCTTTCTCTTTAGCAATAATAATTTTAAAAAAGGAACAGAGCTGCAGCAGCCAAGTAGGGAAGGGAAAACTCCGTGGCACTGTCCTGCACCTCTGCTCCCCCCTAAAACGCTTGTGGCTGAAAAAGAGGAGGGGAAAAGGCAATAAAAAACAAAGCCTAAAGTCTGCACAGCACAAGGGGGAAAAATACCGAAAGACAAACGTAGAAAATGCTAGAAAGGCACAAAGCACCCGAGGCTCTCCTGTTCTGCAGTCTGCTTCACAGGGGAACTTGCACATTGCTCGTCAGCTGCACGCAGCAGAAATGACAGAGCAGCTTTGGCAATTTCAGCAGACCTGATTTCATAAAGCCTTGCTTTTATAATTCTTCTACCTGTCTATGACAGGATCAGCTCGAAGAGGTTGGAAGAGACCTCTGAAATCACCGAGTCCAGCCGGGGGCATTTAAAGAAAATTCCCAGGCACCTCTGGAAAGCAGAAATCAGGTGGAATGAAGAGCCCACTCCCGTGGAAAGACAAAGGACTCAGTGTCCCCTACGAGACAGAAGTGCTCGCTGATACCCACGGTCCTTGCATGAACAAACGGAGCAGGACACACAGAGACACTCCTGGAAAAGGGAAGGAAGAAGGGGAACTGTTTGAAGAAGTGAAGCCGACAAAGCCCTGTGGAATGGGAGAGCCTGGGCTCGTGCACAGAGGTGTCCCACAAAATCTCCTGAGAGCAGGGACACTTCCAAGGGGCTGTGGGGCTGCTCTGGGGGAGCAGAGGGGTGATTCAGCTCTGGGCCACTGCTGGGGAGCTCCTGAGCCTGGGGCTGCCACAGCCCAGCCCTGCCACCCCACCAGCCCTGCTCCTGCCTCAGCCTGGCTGGCCAGCCAGGAAAGCATCCCCCTCTCCACATGAAGGCATTTGGAGGTGGATTTGTTATCCCACGGAACACAAGCTGCCCAGCAGCTCTGCCAGGGCTCCTGTGCACGTTCCCGTTTGTTTGTGGCGGATGAAAGGTGTTTGCTGCTCACCCTGCAGCTCCCAGCCCAGCTCAGACCTCGCCTCAGCAGGGCAGGGAAGGCTCGGGAGCAGCCCGAGGAGCAGGCTGGGTGTGATGCTGGGCACGGGGCTCCTGTGAAGTGCAAACTGCAGAGACACAGGGAAGCTGCCGAGCCGGGGGGCTGGGCTGTGTTTTTAAGGAAGGACAACTGTCACTCCTGAGTGAGTGAGGCCACACGGCCAAAGGCACTGGTGGGCTGGGCTGGGCACAAAGCTCAGCAAAGCGCCTGGAAGATGTCCAGCAGATTTTATGGCCCAGAAAGAGCCATGTGAGCAGTGCTGTGATGTACCACACCGCAGTGTGGGGCTGCCTTTGATCCCAACGCAGGTAAACAGCCCGGAACAATCTGCTTTTGCATCAGGGTGAGGAGCTGCACCCTCAGATGTGGATGGTTCCTGCTGCCCTCGCAGCTGTGAGAGGGGTTTGTGCACTGAGGGCAGCTCAGGCCGGGCTGGAGGAGGGAGGGATGGGAGGAGAAAGCCTCAGGTGTGCGTGCAGAACAGCAAACAGCTGCCAGGGACAGAGAGCCAGCTGTGCAACGGGGACAGGGGCCAGCAGGGCATCCTGCAGAGCCTGCCCGTGCCCCAGGCAGCACCAGGGCTGGAAATCCTGGTCCCCATGGCTGAGCCCCTGCCCTCCTGTGCACCCCCTGCCCTGCCCAGCCCCACTGTGACACCCGCAGGGACACCCCGTGGTCACAATGGCCCCTGTGGTCACAGTGACCCCAACAGCCCTGCCCACACCAGCAGTGCTGTCTCCCCAGACAGCCCCACACTCCAGGGCCTCCATCACCAAGAACACCTCACAGGTGTGTCCCAGGTGAGGGACGCTCCCTCCCCATGTCCCCTTCCCATGGGCTGCAGATCCTGGCCCCGAGGGTGACAGGCTGGCAGGTCCCAGTGATGTCAGTGAGATGCTTCATCCCATCCCTGCTGTGCAAATCCCATCAGCCAGCTCTGCCCCCGTGGTGCTGAGAGCCCCGTGGCAGTCCTGGATGGCTCCTGGATGGCTCCAAGGGACAGGGTGGGCAGTGCTGGTGTGGGGACAGTCCCAGAGCAGGGACAGGACAGGCCCTGTGCTCCCAGCAGCATCACTGAAGCCTTCCTGCTTCCCTGATTACTGAGCCTTTCCAGCCTTTCCCTGGGACCCACCGGGGGGATTTGCCGTGACAGACACCAGGCAGTTTGGGAGGGATTAGGGATCTCTCTACGTAGGAAGGGCTGCAATAGGATTATGTGACTCTTCATTCAGGCACGGAGCTCTGGCAGGGCCATAAATAGCACCGGGACCTTAAGCTGGTGCTTCCCCTCCAAGGCAGGGATTACACAAGCAGGTGCACTCACCTGGGCAGGAGGAGGTTCCTGCACAGCTCCAGGTGCCCCAGGGGATGAGCAGGACCTGTGGGGCAGCCCAGCCCCAGGGCAGGAGCAGAGCCAGAGCTCAGCACGCCCTGCTCGGGACCTGCCCCTCTCTGAGGGCACTGGAGGGTCCAGCCCAGCCTGCCCTGCCCCTCTCGAAGGCATCTGCATGATTTAGCAATCTGCCAAGGCAGCTCCAGCCTCCCCTCCACGCCCCAAATGCAGATGAATGACTTTAGTGCTGCTGCTGGGTGGGTGCACAGGCATCAGCACAGTCCTGTGTGTACTTGTCTCTGCCAAAGTGAGAATGGCCAGGAGCCACCAGCACACACGGCTGTGAGCACAGCAGCTTCTGAACCATCTGAGTCCAGAGCAGGGTGCACAAACCTCACTGGGATGGCTGT